ATTCAAAACATTTGGTTTGCTGTTTTTATACATCCAAATCAACATATAAGTCACATGGCACAGGATGCTGGTAAAGTTTGTTCCCTGATGATAAGGAAACATTTAGCTCTGCAGATTTTGACTTGTTTGCCTGGCTGGAGTTATTCAGGAAAGAAAGTTAGAAAAGAAAATCAGTCAGTGTGACTTTTCTTCATACATTTATCAGATTGTCAGAAATGCTGGCTGTTTATTCCAGAACAGGAAGTCAGTGTTCTGATGTGTTCCTCCTCAGTGCTCTAAAGGCAGCTCACATGTCGTAAAGATAAAGTTATGAAGCAAGACTCTTTAGCTTCAGATTGATAAAGTTTAATTTCTCACCGTTTAAACAACATGGAGGATGTCTTCTGATAATTATAAATGCAAAAAGTATGCTGTTACATTAGGAACGGTATGGAGCAGTGCTTCATGTTAGGAGCTTAAAATATTCAGCATAGAGTATATGTTAATGTGGTCTTAAGAATACCCGTAACCACAAACTAAAGAGCTCTTAGTTTATGCAGCTGCGTGTGTTTGTGCATCAGAGTCAGAATGAAAGCAGTCTGTTATCAGTAAGATATGAACGATAACAGAGGGGGAGGAGCAAAGCACTACTTCCTGATGGACCTTTTGATAGTAACACTGACGACGTGTCCTCATACAAACACATGTCATCTCTTCTCTTTGCAGAAGCTCCCATTTCTCCTCTCTTTATAGCCATTTCTATTCTTTGTGATTTTCTTTTTTGTTTTGTTTTTGTTTATGGTTTTGCTTGTTATGAAGATGGAATGTTCTCCAGTGCCAGAATGTGAACAGTAGGAAACCAGTATCTCTTGTTGTTGGTATATATATTTCTGTTCTTTGGTGAACAGAGCAATTTCATCGAATTAGTTTCACCTAACTGAAAATACAAAAACAAAAAGTAAATTGTATTTACATCAATAATAAAAAAGCAAATGGAGTGGGAGATTTACAGATGGATTGGTGTGATTTCTCCAGTGATGTGAGATACAGATCTGTTTTAGTAAAGAAAGCTGAGTCAAGTTCCTACCCTCATCCTCAGTCATAAGTTCTGGATACAGGCTGACAGTTAGAAATTGTGGACACAGCCAGTGAAAATGAGCTGCTTCTGAGGGATGTGTGGAGTCTTGGAGATGAGGTGAGGAGGGAGTTGGAGGAGAGCTGCTATTCCTCTATATTGATTTGAAGGTTTAGGGTGGTTCAGGGATCTACCCAGGACCCCTTCCTGGGCACTGCCGTTGGTCTTGTCCTACCAGGAGGTGGTCCTGGGGCAGACCTAAGAAGTGTCAATAGCTGAGTTTTCAGCTATTGACATATCAATAATAATAATAATAATAATAATAAACTTTATTTATAAAGCACACTTAAAAACCAAGGGTATGCCAAGGTGCTTAACAAGTAAAATAGAGTATAGGAGGAGGATAATAGAAATAGGACCAAAGCAAGTGCTAAATATGCAAACAGATAACTGTCACTAATACATAGGAAAGCAACAGGTACAGAGCAAACAAGAATTTAAATGAGCATAGAAGTGCATGATATAAAATCATAAAAGAAATATTAACTAGAGGGAAAGGCAAGATTGAATAAGTGGGTTTTTAATCGTGATTTGAACAGTGCAATGGAGTCAGATGCGCGGAGGTCGAGAGGAAGGGTATTCCACAGTACCGGGGCAGCCAGAGCAAACGCACGGTCACCCCGGGACTTCAGTCGAGATCTGGGTTGGGTCAGAAGTAGTTGAGTGGCAGATCTGAGTGTTCTAGCAGGAGTATGTGGTTTGAGAAGTTCACTAAGATAACTTGGCGCTAATTTATTAATAGTTTTGAAAGTAAGGGGTAATATTTTAAATTGAATACGGTACTTTATGGGCAGCCAATGCAGGCTAGCTAGGACAGGGGTAATATGGCAAAATTTCCTGGTACCAGTCAAAAGGCGGGCTGCTGCATTTTGGACTGTTTGCAGTTTAAGAAGAAGAGAAGAGGGAAGACCATAGTACAAGGAGTTACAATAATCCAACCTGGAGGTCACAAAAGCGTGAATAAGCTTCTCCAGGTCCTCATGCGGAATATAATGCCTAGCCTTAGAGATAAGGCGCAGTTGGTGGAAGCTAGATCTCACTACAGCAGACACTTGCTTATCGAGTTTGAGCGAGCTATCCAGCAGTACACCCAAGTTACTGACATAGTCACAAGAAAAACTAGCAAAGGAACCCAGGGCAGCACAGAGTTGGGCACGAGGGATTTTACTATCAATGAACTTCTCTCATCACCACTGTATGAGAAGGAATATAAAATGCATTTGAATGAATGTTAAATGTAAAGAAATATTGTACAGCTTTACAAAGATTTACACCCCCACCTTTTTATTGTAACTGGCTGGAAATGGCTAACTGCCTCGATCCATACTCACTGAAAACGCTAAATCCAGATGAACAGAATCAACTTTTTGGGAAGCACTAACTGTGATTAGGTTAAAGAAGGAAGTGGATGCTTATTAAATCCACTATCCAGGTTAAGTGGCAGTGTACCATCTTTAGTCTGTTATAAATATGTTACTCTTGATTCTCATTGTACTGTCTCTCTGAGGTACAGTGAGGTTATTGTGAGGAGATTTGACCTCCTGGCAAATCACTGCCCTCACTATAATAAAGCAGAATTTTTCCCATGCTTCTTCTCAGCTGACTAAATCTTAGTCTTATGATCTTCTCTCTAAATATGCCACATTTAGCCATGAGGCAGACAGACACTAGACTACAATACACTATGTACCTGAATGATTTACACAATTAGGAATTTCACATGAAAAACACATTTATAGAGTGTTCAGTATTCACAGGTAGTCGTAATAATATGAAATAGCTGAAGACCTTTGGTATAGGATTGTTAAATTTTTATTTATTTTTTTGTTTTTTGTAGGACATTTTTGTTATGCAAGCTAAATTCACAAGTGTTTATGATGCTGGATGACCAGACCAAACTGGAACTTTGGAAATATTGAAGTTCCTGGTTTATGGTGGGGCTTCAAAGTGGCTTTTGAGCAGATAAAAACAAAACAAAAAAAAAACATTACAGTCCACTTGGAAAATAAATATTTATGTTCACTGTACAAAGTAGTTGGTCGGATATCAATCCTTGAGGGATGCCCTTATCAATGTCCTGGGAACATAATTTGAAACCAACAACAATTGGTTTAAAAAAAACAAAACATCAAAATCCACAGAAAGCAACTCATTTAACATGTTATGGCTAAAGCTTCAGAAGCCTTGATTCAAGTGAGGTAACAATAGCAGTCACCGTGCCAACAGCCGATCTAAAAGCTTGACTGCTGTGGCTAAAGTACAGTATTATCCTCCAGGAAGCCATGTAGTGGTGAATTGGCCAGGCATTTAATTAGTGTAGATTTTGACATTACTTTCATTTTTATGTTACTAAAAGACAAAAGTGTGATGGGTGCAAACTAAAGGACAAACTAATCACTGCTGCCAGTATGACATTGGCTATTTGCAAACATCTGCATAGACAGTGAAGGTTCAATAAGCAATTGGTCTGTCAAACCCAAACAAGCAGCCAGAGCCTGCACCGTCACAGCAATTGTTTCTAACCACTCCAGTTTCTGCATTTTTCTACTTTTACTGTTGTTGTTAATGGAGGCACTGCAAAAAATACGAGACAAATATGAGGTACAGTCAGTCTGTGGGCTCTCTGTGCTGTTGTTGGTCAGACAGCCTCGAAGAAATGTGAAGTTATAAAAAGAGCTGAATTGCAACAGAGTTGAACACTGTAGTGTCCTCTGCAGGTTTTTAGAACTGGAGAGGCCTCTTTTGGAGGGGTGATGAAAACCTCTTTATGAACCAAAAAGAAGTCTCTTCACCTTCTTTTCAAGCACTCAGGTTTATATTGTCTACTGATAATCATGTGACGATGCATGTGAGGTAATGTTATGAAGTAATAAAAAAGCCAAATAACGAATGGTGTGACTAATTACTTTCACCAGGGGATAAATAAGTATTGCATAGTGCATTAAATTCTTTAAAAAACTCATTAAAAAATAACAATTGTAGTGTTTTTATTTATTTATGACGCCAACACTGGTCAAAGCTTGTCCAATATAGAGTTTTGTTCACTTACCATTTTGGGTAAGTGAACAATACTTTGTTTTACTTGGTCTTTGTGACTGGTTTGGTTTAGAAAAGGTTAATTATGTCCCTCCTTAAAATTAAGCCTGTATGTTAAAAGATGGTTGTTATTGTCTTCTTTTGCCTGGTTCCTTTAGGGTTTGCCACACTCGACCATCTGCATCCATGTCACTATGGCAGCAGCATCCTCTGTCACACCAACTCTCTGCATGTCGTCCTTTACTATATGTCCATGATTTTTTCTTTGTCATCTGCCTCCTGCCTGTCAGCAGCATCTTCAAAATCCTTATCTAAATTATGTAAATGCGACGCCAAAAGGTTTCTTACAAGGGTTTGTATTGTGGTGCCACTGGTTTTGACATGCTTAACTCCCGTTTAATTGACAGCAAACTCATTGACTGTTTTTTAGCTAAAACTGCATAAAATGAAAATAGTCTGTAAAATATATAAAGTGTGTGCTTGCCTTTTTTTTTTCCTTTTTCTTTTTTTGCACTCTTACACCATTTCTTCTTTTCTTAAATATTTTCCCACTTAGCTATGTTCTCACACAGTTACTATTTTCCCAGAAAGCCATATTCTGGTCTGGACAGTCCCATGATCCCCACCACCATAATTCAACATGACAGTTGGTGTTTGCATGTGTGTGTGTGGTTGTGTTGCCATCTCCTTGTTCTGTTCCTCAGCTTATTTGTTGGCTTCCTTGTTTCTCGCTTATTTCCTTTTTTCTGGCTTGGTTTTTATCACAGACAAACTGAATACCCATGGAAGCTGAAACCTTGGGATTTGGTGTGTGGGTCTGTGCGTGATTGTGTGACTCTGTTTTCTGCAGGTTTATTGCGGTCATCACTATGACTGATGGGGATTATGACTTCCTTATAAAGCTCCTTGCCCTGGGGGACTCCGGCGTGGGGAAGACCACGTTCCTGTACAGATATACAGACAACAAGTTCAACCCCAAGTTCATCACCACAGTCGGCATCGACTTCAGGGAAAAGAGAGTGGTGAGTTCTTACCTTTTATTATTCCTACGAACAAATGTGCGCCCTGTGTGTAGCTTGTAGAAGTTTCTTTTTGATTGTGTAGTTTTACACAACATTTAATTCATCTTCATCTCAAGTTAGCAGCCACTTTGGTTACCATAGTTACAGTTTGATTTGTCCAGAGCTTTTAGTTATCAAAGCACAAACAGCGGGTCAGATCAAGCCCAGGTTTTCTGCTGCTTTTCTCCCACAGTGGCTGCTGAGCTGAGTCACTCTACAGTCATGTTATTTTAACTTATGCAAGGAAAACAAACTTGGGTCAGATTCAGCCGGGAATAAATGACCCGGAATAAATTACCCGTGAAAAGATGGTCGTTAACTAATTAGCGTCTAACATAATTGCTGTGGTATTTATAAATGAAGGCTTTCCAAAGAAAGCATTTAGCTCTCAGAGTGGGGGCTTACTTGTGCTTGTTAGTTTCCAAAGATTGAGCCCAAGTTTGGGGACATGTCCTCTTTACTTTTAAACCTAAGCTTCCTTTTTGATAGTTATGTGAGGGCTGGATCAAGTGCTGGAGGCTCAGGTGGCTTGGGGACTTTCTAGGATGCGCTGGGCAGGGTGTTTGGGTGATGCACTCATCTGATAGCTATAAAACATATGCTGCCAGATAACAAAGGGCACTATGAGAGATTATCAGCTGTCAGCAGACAAAGGTTCAGGAGCTAATTGGGTAGGGATGGTTATGTTATCATATAGGTTTTTTTTTCTTTTTCTTTTTACTCTACCATGTGCCAAGTTGCAGTCGTGGTTTCTAATAGAAGTTCATTCAGGCAGACATGAAAAATGTAGCCAGTGTGCTTTAAAACCTGCATTCCTTCTGATAACCACCAGATGAGTCATCTGGTTGAACAAATAAGTCTGGTTGTATATGGTGTTAAGTTTATGGTGTTAATCGATCAATCGATTTCGGGTCTTATTGAACATAATATAATGATCATTTAGACTGAAAACCTGGGGTTATAATTGGTGTGCTTTAGCATTGGCCTACCTCGTGATTGACAAACAGCCCTTCTTTGAGTTTGTGGTGTGAGGGTTTTTCACAGTCAGATAGTCCTTGCTCTGGTCTTCAAAACAACAAGAATGCAAAAATGCACAGCTTAAAAACAGATTCACAGTTTGACTTCTCAAACCAGTGGGTAACCAATGATTTGCAGTTAAACGTGAGCAAACTTCTAAATAATGCGAACCCAGAAAAAAAGTATCTTTCAGTTTTTTGTCCACCACAGAGGACATAATGAATAGGCTGGGTCTAAGGATCCTTAACAGTGACTGGAACACTCTCTGGTTGTAAGCATAGATGCCCAACCTACTTCCTGTTCTGGCAGCCAATAAGAAAAAAAGCTGGCTTAAAGTTAGGGAAAAATGGCTTAAACAGTTTGTTTCATACAGAAAATAAAACTTCTGAGGCTGTATAGCAAAGGATTAGTTTGAACAGAAAATTATGCAAAGCGTAACAGATCTTCTTTAAGGTCTTTCATAGATATGGCACTAAGAATAGCAATATTTGCTTAATAAGACATATCACAATTAACATATTGTAATATTGGAAACACGATATGATCAGCAAGTTTTACTTTTGTTTGAATACTGTTATTTATCAGCACATAATTAGTATAGTTAAACCCTTAAGTGAGGAGGTTCATTGTAAACAGCTGTTAATCATTAGCATCATTAGCATTCTAATTTGCAAAATTATATTATTTTAATCCACTTAATAGCTGCCTTGTAAAACTGTTGTTAGAAAAAAGCCCTCTGTGATCACTTTCTGCTAATGTTAAGAGCTAGTTTACTTCTGCGCTTAAAGTACTTCGTACAAGTTGATCCTTACACCACACACACTGACAGAACCAGTAACGTTATAGTGACAGAACGTGGTGACAGTTCTAAATAAGATGCTTTTCTCCTGAGCTGACACTCATGGACCCCAAGAAATATGACGGTGACATGTCTTGACAAGTTGACAGTCTTTTAAAAATTGTTTTAGGCTTGAAAGATGGCTGATGAGACAGAAGCAATTTATTGCCATGTTTGGACTGACAGTGAAGGAGATGTTGTTTTGGGTAAATGATGAATGACAGGTTGCAGAGCTTCTTGTTGCTCTAGAGGCAGAAGACTTTTTTTTTTTTTAAATTCCTGTGTTGTTGTTGTTGTTTCTCTTTTAATGCTGCAGGACCAATCGCTCATGCTATATTCCAGAAATTTGTTGTATTAAAATCCTTTTATAATCTTTGAGAGTTTCATACTTGGTTCCGTGTAGAGTTCCACTTTAAACTTCACCTGAGACTTGATAAAAGTTTCTATACTTGACCATCGAAATGAATACGTGCAAATATCTCACTGTGAATGCTCTTATCTGAATCAGAGAGTGGGCGAAGCTTGGTTTGGTCACTTTGGTGCCCTGCTGCCTTTGCAGGTCTGAAATACAGACAATGCTGCTTTAATCCCACCTCTCCGGATGACTCATAGGATTGATTGTTTCATCACCGTGTGTGTGTGTGTGTGTGTGTGTGTGTGTGTGTGTGTGTGTGCACGCATGTGTTTAAAGGTCACACCTTGTTTTCAAACCGTTCTATCTGATTATTACACAGAAGCAGACAAATGTGTGATCACAGCTTTAGTTCGCAGCTGTACTTCCTCAGAGTTCTCATGAGGTCTGAAAGCTGAATGTGGATCAGTTTGTTCATCCCATGGGACATTTAACCAGAGTTTGTAAATGAAAGTTTCGTGACTCCTAGACAGACAATTAAGTGAACACTTCTGGTAAACTGTGCTTCGGTGCTCATACCAAGAGGAAACGGCTCATTATGACCCACATCTTTTTGATTCTTCTGGCCTCTAATATGCATTACAAAACTAGCAGGGTACTAGTCATTATGAAACTCACATTACCGACTGTTTTAGTGCTCGATTATTATCTCAGAAATCTGACTTGTAACCATAGTAGCCACGGTTCAGCGCATCTTTCATAGGCCTTAAATTAAACAAACAAATGAAGACTAGAAACTGTTGATGTAAGGAGGAATTTGGCTTTGGGGTAGTATAATGGCACATCTTTCAGCCCAAAGACATAAGGTTGACCCTTGTGTGGTATGGCTACCACACAGGGGTATGTCTGGTGTGAGATGATATGAAAAATGAAACGTCACAGCAGAAATTGAGATTCATCCCACCAGGCAAATATGACTTGTATTGAGTGCTCAGAGATGCTCTTCTGTGTACTTTGTTTGTAACTAGTTATTATTTGAGTTACTGTTGTCTTCCAGTGAACTTGGAGCAGTCTGGCCATTCTTATCCATCCTCTGAATGGTTAGGGTTAGGGCATGTTGTAAAATCGTGCCAATGGGATACCTAGTGAGCTAAAATGTGCTGCTCATGCGTCAGCATGTGACAAGTTGAATGAGAACTACAACTGAATCTGGCACTACATGTTCTTGACTATGTCTAGATGGATTTAAGCCATGTAATTAAAAGAAACACACACACACACACAACAAAGCGGTCATCATTCTTTCATTTCAATGCATCTATTGGAGCAAGCTAGTCGCTATGACAGCAAAGCAACACTATGCTGTTAAACAAAGGTACAGCACTATGTTTCTGGTGTTTAGCTCACGACTTTATAAGAAGTAGGTTCAATAAATAGTACCTTGATAACTTTCCACAGTGTAAAGTAAACAGAAACTTTGACGTGTCTGTTATCCAAATAGACTTCCTCGATCAGAGTGCATGTCTTTTCATGTCACCCCATCTGAGCTGAAGGTCAGTTATCACCTTGAAAAATGAAAGAACACCATAAAGTCAAATATAACTGTTTCAAACATGATCTGTATAAACTCAGTCTAAAAAGGGTGTCAGAAAATGTGACAGTGTGTCACATTAGGGAGAATCAGAGGTGTGAATGATGCCTGAAGCTTCCTGTGGTGACAGGAACATAACCAGCCAGCTGCTGCAAACAAGTTTTCATCATTACCCAGTCAGGATCACTGTCCACATGAGTTTTCATCATACCTGATGAAATATTCACTGAAGCAGGGGTGAGGTGAATAAATGGAGGCGGGGTATGTAAGGTGGTGAATAGTTGGTAAATGGTAAATGGCCTGTATTTATATAGCGCTTTACTAGTCCCTAAGGACCCCAAAGCGCTTTACATATCCAGTCATCCACCCATTCACTCACACATTCACACACAATAGTTCTTCAAATACAAATGAAAAGATCCCAAAGTTAAACTGTTTTTTTATTTCATTGTATTTATATTATGTATTTTGTATCCTAAACTAACTGTGGTGTATCACATCTTTGGAAAGCTGAGTTTAATTTCTCTAGCCACACCCAGGCCTGATTACTGCCACACTTGTTCTCAATCAATAAATTCCTTAAACGTGACCTGCCTGACAAAGTGGACCATCAAAATCCTCAAGATCCTCAAAAGACAGATGTCACGCTGCGTTTCAAAGAAATTCAGGAACAAATGAACAACAAAGTAACTGAGATCTCTCAGTCTGGAAAAGGTTAAAGCCATTTCTAAAGCTGTGGGACTCCAGCAAACCGCAGTGAGAGCCGTTATCCACAAATCGCGAAAACATGAAACGGTAGCACACCTTTGCAGCAGTGGGGCCGACCAAAATTACTCCAAGACAGCAGTGACAACTCATCCAAAAGGTCATAAAAGACCCCAGGACAACATCCAAAAAATAAAGGCTCTTCTCAGATTTGCCAGAAAACATCCTGATGATCCCCAAAACCTTTGGAAAAATACTCTGTGGAAAGTCAGTAAGACAGTAAAATATGGTGGTGGTAGTGTGATGGGGGCATTTTGCTGCCTCAGGTCCTAGAAGACTTGCTGCAGTAAATGGAACCATGAATTCTGATGTCTACCAAACATCCTGAAGGAGAATATCAGTTTTGCAAAATAGTAATAAAAAAACAAGAAGTCAGGAAGGGGGCAAAGACTTTTTCACACCACTGTAGATTAGTAACTTTGACTAATCTAACTCTACACAGTATCACGAGGAAGAAGTTTACTGTTATCAAGTGAACAATCTTACTCTATGGCTGTTTTCCTAGCCCAAAACAAAGGTGCACCAATCACCTTATAGAGATACTTATTTTTCAAGGTTGAGGAAGGTTGACAGTTGTAATGGTCAGTTTTGGGTCGACTGATTTAAATGTCATTGTTTTTGTTTGTTTGTTTGTTTGTTTTTAATTGCAAGTCTTGTAATATACACCAGGTATAAATGACTTTTCTTTCATAAACGGTCATCTCATTTAAAATTGTGCGATTTCTTTCTCCTCAGGTCTACACAGCGTCTAACCCCAATGGGACGACCACGGGTAAAACCTTCAAGGTTCACCTTCAGCTCTGGGACACAGCTGGACAGGAAAGGTAGGCCACTTATCCCATTAGGACAAAATCTTTTTCCTAACAGTTAGTCGGTTCACACATCACTGATGGCATCGTGGATTGTGGGCTTAAGACTCTCCGTGATTCTACAGGTCATAAATGCCGGGTGGGGCTGATGGATGGCATCAAGGCTTTAAATATGTGTTAAAGCACCAGTGCTTAAAGTTTTTGTCTTAAAGTCCTCTGCCTATTACTCTGGGTATGTTTTTTGTGTTACAATCTTTAATCATGAAGCAGTAGTAACAAGCATTGATGAAACCGATGCAGTCATACAGCTGACCTTTAGGGCCAGTTTTACAACTGTGGATATCCCACTGGGGTTAGATGGTGTGTAGACTTGAGGTGCAACAAACTACAGTTTTAGCTGTCATTGCACAATTGACCCGAGGAATTGACTTCCAATTGATTGGTCAGTCATTACTGATTGGTTGAAGCTCACCAAAAGAAAATGCAATAATGCCAAAATGAAATCACCAGGGACGATATCAAAACAGATAAATGGTACAATGAAAAACGTTTTAAAAAAGTTTATAATTGTAGAGTAGTAAAGTTTATTTCAGAAATCTAGATGGAGAATCAACAGACCAGTATTTATGGCTGCATGTGTCAGTCATGCATGTGTGGTCTTTAATTGGTCCCGACCTCGATCTGTTGAATCTGTTTATAAAAGCCCGATGACTCACCGCAGGATGAGTTGGTGTTAGTTACATAAATTTAATTGCATTTATTCTGCCCAGTGCAACAGATTCCGCATGATCATTTATTCAAGCGGTTAAAGTCATTATTCCACCTGTAAGCAGGCTGCGGTGGAGACACCTCTGATATCTGCTGCTTCATTCCGATTGTTTGCATCTTAAATATTGCTCATAAGTAATGTTTATACACTCGCTGTTGTCACACCCAGAAGCACAAGCATGTCTCAGAATATGCACTTCAGCTGGGGGAGCCCCATTACTAACTTGTGCGGGTAGAAACGGACATGGCACACATCTATTGTTTTTCTGTATTTAGTGCTTGAACACAGGTGAAATTACAGCTCATATATTTTACTTATAACAAAGTTATAAGCTGATATTGATCAAATTGAAATCAATGTTTCTGTTTTGTGCAAGAAGGTTTCATAGAATTATTCATCGGAATAACAGATTTTTGGAAATGGTTGGCGACTACAGATTTTCAGCTTAAACACTGATATTGCAAAATGTTAGAATGTCATGTTTAGACCCCCAGAGAACAATCCAGGACCATGTGGCAACCATCCATTACCAGGGAAGAAAAATGTGTATTCCCCAACCGGTTGTAAGTTTTTACCCTTCAAAGTAAAAGTTGCACCTTTTCAAAATGTTTGTTTGGTATGAAATGGGGCTTCTGATTTAAAAAAAACAAAAACAAACAAACACTACAGCTTGCAGTGGAAAATGGAAGCATTGGTGTCCTCCGTGCAAATTACGGGTGACTAAGGCAATCTCCTAGCAGTGTGCAAGGTTTTCAGTGCAGCACTGTCTTTGTGACCAGTTTCACCTGGTGACAGCCAGCAATCTCCAGATGTAGAGCAGCAAAGGTCTATTTTTTTTTTAAATCTTTTGACAGACATTAGTAAAATATCTATTCTGAGAGTTTAATTTGGGCAAATGTGACATCCTGTGCTGGAAAATGAAGCATGGAAGTGCAACAATAGCCCTAAGTTCAAACGGACAAGTTAAAATGCCCAGCTCATCATTAAACTGAAGGCATGTTTACAGCCTGGTATGAAAAATGAATAGTTTGATTTGTGGCCAAAGATCTGAAATGTTGCTATACACTGATACAATGCCAAACACTAAAAGGAGTTGGTAAAGACCCAGAACACAGCTGACACAATGTGAGTATTTGATATTTATCAGCTGGCCTAAAAGAAGGCTACAAATCAACAAAACAGAACAATACAGTGTTGCTCTGTGACTGCTTTCAGGCATTTGCTCTCAATTAAAAACATGATGTGCCCAAACATTTTTAAATTAATCAATTCAGGTTTCACACTTGTTTTGGGTTTACGTAGTTATTGTAGGATTGTCTATTTTTTTACTGCAGCACCTTCTTGTGGCTGTTAAAAGAACTGCATCTGTGGATACATCAATTCTAGCCTCGTCTGTCCATAAGGCTAGCAGTTAATGTGATTGGGTGGCTTTCACATTCGGGATATTGTGCAGTATAATACAATTAAGACATTTTTAGAAACCCTTTAAAAAATACACATTGTCATATCTGTACTCTTTAAAACTGTTTGTGTTTCAGGTTCCGCAGCTTGACCACGGCCTTCTTCAGGGATGCTATGGGGTTCCTGCTGATGTTCGATCTCACCAGCCAGCAGAGCTTTCTCAACGTCAGAAACTGGATGAGTATGTTTACTAGAATCTGCTATCAAAACATTTCAGTCCAACAATGTTCAGCTCACTGTTAAAATATGTAAAAGGCTGATGACTAATGTATTGTGAAAGCATGAAATAGCAGTATAACAAAACATTTCTGTTTGTTTGAAGTTCCTCTGATACATCAGTTTTTCTTTATTTACTTTTTAATCTGTATTCATTTTCAGGCCAGCTACAGGCGAATGCTTACTGTGAGAACCCAGATATTGTTTTGGTAGGGAACAAGGCGGATCTGGCCGACCAGCGGGAGGTTCAGGAGAGACAGGCCAAGGAGCTGGCCGAAAAATACGGGCAAGTTTATTTGTCATGTACATTAACCGTATGTATTAGTAGATATTAAGACCACTTCAGGTGTTGAACAGTGATATTTTATTTATTTATTTATTTTTTGTTACTGTTTATCTGAGAGCACACGGTGGCAACTTCTCGTCTGACTTTCACAAAAGAGCTTCTGGCCTCGGTATTACCCTAAAAACATGATGGCTTTAATTAAAAAACAAAAGTTGTTTCCTTAGCGTCTTGTAGAAACTAAGCAGCTGTTTTCATATCAATGGACACTTAAGGTATTTACAATTAAAACTATATCTTGCACTTATACTTAAGTCTATATGCACACACTAAATACTGTTGATGTTTATTTATCTAGGAGAAAAACTGCATTAACTTAAATTTCAATTGACACTGTTTCCATGCTTGACCTTGTACAGTTGGATCCTTACCCCTCCACATGTCCTCAAGTTACTAATACCGTAAACACTTTGTCCTACGTTACTGGTATGGCTGCAGGTATTTATAAAAGTAAAAGGAAGGTGTGCATCTCTCAGCCACGTGCAGGCAAGAAACAATTTGCACAATTAAAATCTGACATTTAAATTAACATACTGTAATGTTCCGATGTGCTTCAGATCTCTGATCCACATTAATATTTGACAGGCTTTAGAACACATTGTGTAAATATGACGTGATAGAGAATAAGAAAAGCAAATACGTAATAGTGATTTTTGATGTTACATAACTCCATATCTCATATATATCTTGTAATAACCACCTGTTTTACACCTCTGTTCTGCTCTATTGCATTAAAATAACATTAATGTGGCTCAGAAACATGTGGGGCTTTGGCCGAAAACAACACTCACTTTTGTACATCATGTATGATTGATATAAATACTTTATTTTGTTAGCATTGATAATTTTCTTTTATAGAATATCATTGTTAGGATTATTGTGATCATCAACATTGCATGTTTATGAATAGATGGTACACGGTTTTTCTGTAACAACAGACGACTTCCTGTTAGATGAGGTAAAAACCCACAAAGTTTTGCTCACGGAAGTAATATAAGTAAGTTCTGACATAAACGAGTAAACCTAAAAAGCTTTGTTGATGCAAGTATAGCAAAAATTGCAGATCCTAAATGTGCTGGTATAGATGGTTAAACTAACCACTTCAAGCCTTCAAGTGTTTTCCAGCTTTGGTTAACCACCTGAAGTTGTTAAACATACTTAGGAATACAGTAACACATGACCTCTCCCGCAGATGCCCATAATAAACTGACAATAAGCCAAACATTATCATATGTAAAGCACACACTTCACGTTTTTTAATGCATATCACAGTTAGCAGATATCTAGAATTGCAAACTAGTCTTTCTGCAGTTCTGTTGTCCAGCGTAGAATTTATTCCTGTAAAGTTCTGTTGATCAGATGGTTCTGAACGACACTGTCTCTCTGGATTGGTCCTGTTTCAGACAGTTAGCAGATTGATGGGCCTTTAAAGTTGTTTCGGTCTTCACACCTGCACTTTTTTACCATATGGTTACAAGTACAAGAACTTATCACTGAATACATGCTGGATATACTCAGTATTCACATTATTTTAGCTCATTAATTTACTCAATGCAAAATGCATAGTCCACAGGTTATACTTCAAAATCTTCCTCAGCCTTTCGACCAGTTTAAAAAAAATCTTTTTTTAAATTCATGATGGTTGAAAATAACACAAATACAAAGGAAGGTGAACAAGTGAGGTGCATTTGGAAAAACATTGGTTTAAGTTGCAGATTTGTTCTTTGCAGGATCCCGTACTTTGAGACGAGTGCAGCGACAGGAGCAGATGTGGACAAGGCGGTTCTAACGCTGTTGGACCTGGTCATGAAGAGGATGGAGCAGTGCGTCGACAAACCCCCTGCCGAGCCTGCCAATGGGAACGGGGCCACAAAGCTTGGTGATGCACAGCCGAATGCTAAGAAATGTGCATGTTAGATGAAGAGGCGATACAGGACAACAACCAGTCAGTGCTGCTCTGTCGTCTGTCCTTCTTCTCACCACATTCCTTCCTCTGTTTACTTTATCCTTGTCATTTTTGATAGCATGTCTCTTCATTGTTTCATCACCCCTGTGCTCTTTAAAGCTAACATTTAGCCATGTTCTCCTATTTTGGTTCTTTTCCTCCCTTTATGCTTACTTGTCCTCCCTAATGTCATTCTGACAATGAAAGAACTCTATCCCCCTCTAATGGACTCTTACGGTAATACAGTCTCTGTTGGTCTGCCTTTAGAAGGAAATTAAAACAGGAGGGGACAGTTTCATCACTGTCAGACGCATAATGTGCCTAGTTAAAAACATGCACCCTGGGAATAGGCTCTGCACGCTCCCAATTTAACTGCTCGCAAGTGCTTTGAATGATTTAACAGACCTAAACAATCAAAAAGACGCATTTAAAAGTTTAATTTGGACTCTTTATATGTTGATCTATCTATTTATGGCCGCAAAATGAGGGGGACTTAACTTTGTTTTTAATCAGTATTGGTCCTCTCCTAAAGTGTTTGCTCCTGGATCACAGTGAGAAATTGTGTGACTGATATGGTTTAATTCCTCTGTTATTTATAATTGTTTTTTTCTCCCCGTTTCACAAAGTGTCCTATGCTGTACCCATATGAGCCACATTTAGTAACTTTTTGATTTTTACATTTTTTTGTCAGGTTTAGACATGGCAGACATTTGCTAAAAAATGCAAAATGCTTTTTCTTTTTGTTAATAAAATAAAAAATTTATAGTGCAGCATAACATAAAATAAAATCACCCACTGCTGGCTTCTTTTGTTTCTTTCTCTAGGTAACATCTGATAGTACCCTCTCATGCAGTATGGTATCAGAAACATGTACTTTTTTCCATTGTCACTAATTTTGTTTACAGGTAGTATTGTCTTATATAGATTATAGAAAGTTGCACACTTAATAAAGGGTATAGCATTTGACCTCAATTGTTTGTGACCATATATTATATTTCATTCTTTTACAATGAAGACACAAATTTACCACACAAAAACAACCAAACAGCATGTGACATCAATAATATTTTAAAAATGATGCCGTCTGCTAGCTTGGTAGTGAGCACCATCCAAGCAGATGATGTATCATGTTCCTACTGTTGGTGATTCTTAACGTTCACTTTCTGACCACAATCAGAAAAAATCTATTTAAACACTCCTACATTGTCAGGGTTTTTTTGTTTGTTTGTTTGTTTTTTCAGTGTCCTACCAACTTCAACGTTTTTCATTTTAAAGTTGTTTTTTTTTGTGGGGTGGGCGGGGGTTTATTATTATTTTTTGTTAAGCCACATCACCTGGTTTTACATGGCAAACTTGAGGTTTTCACTGAAGTAGAAGACCACAAATACTGGCATTTTCCACCTTCTCATATCAAATATTAGCATTTGATAAGTTTAGATATATCCTAGTCTGCTAAGGATTCCTAATATCATTAGAAAAGTTTTTTGGCTAGATTTTATATGTTTGTTTCCATTTCCAAAGTATTAATTAAGAGACAGTTTTTTCAGATGGCTGATGCCATCAACACTATAAAAGATGGGCATAGCTACTTGTTTTGAAGCCTCAAAATGAGTGATTTTGGCATTGTGAAACCAGATGTAGTGGAGCCAAAGTAAGCCATAGTGAGCATATCCTGGATAATCCTCCTTTCTGACATACAGATTGACCAGAATATACAAAATAAACTTAACGTTTTAGACAGTGTGACCCGAAATGAGCAACTGACCTGATAAACTCGGTAGCAAAATGTTGACAGACATGCAGACAGAGGGCCGTTTTCTTTACTTCTACAGAAACTGAAATCTCAGCCTATTGTTGGCCTTTGGAAAGAATGCCATCTTTATTATAGGACTTGTATGGGTATAGCATGACACATGTGCAATAAAGGAAAAAATCAATTGCATATTGATCATTTTAATAGTGTTTATCAGCATAGATGTGTTGTTCCAAAGTGACCTACTGCCTTGACCTTTGAAGCATTATTCCACTGTAGTCAGGCAGACCTTGTTGGAGACGGTCCAGCTGTGCTATTAGATGTTCGGGAGGCACATTGTCATTGTAACTTTCTACCATTTACTTAAAAAGCTCAAAATAAAGTTGTCTGCAGCAACAAATCAACATCCAAGCTCTCTGAATAAATCCTTTCTAATCACAAAAATAATAATAACAGCATAGAATGGGAGTAAAATGCAGAATTAGCTTTATCAGGTGACATGAGATCTTCAGTGCAGCTGATTTTTGATTAGACTTTTTCACATCTTTACATCAGATAATCAGAGAAACTCCAATATGGCTCTGGGCTCCAATTCTGTCCATGACTAATGTTAGATTATATGTTGACCAGTTATTTATTTTACAGTACATGTGAGACATATGTAGTTATTTCTGTTGTCCTGTTTTTGTTCTGTTCTTTACATCCCACGTTCCTGTGTTACGTCATCTAATTTAATTAAATTTAAGTAGCTGCTTTTATATTGATTTACTTTTTCATTGTTTTAGTATTTTTGTGCTCAAAGCATAAAAACAAAAAATCCAGAAACTTTGGTTTTACTCATTTCAGCTTTGAGTTGTCTTGGTTAAATCTCTTCAACCTGGATTTGGGTGGTTTATCCAATTCATCCGAGCTAATCTGCATCTTCAAACGTCATCAGATTGGATGGGAAGTGTCTTCTTTGTGCCTCTCAAAAGATGTTCTGATGGATTAAAATTTTGGCTTGGCCACTTAAGAACCAACAGTGACTTGCCCTGAAGCTTTTCCAGCATTGCAATGGCTCTGTTCTTTAGTTCATTGATTCATGGTATGCTGAAGGATGACTGGATGTCTCAGCCTGTGGTAGAAGCACTCAGTAGTTGGGTTTTCTTCCAAAACTTTTTTTTTTTATTGGGCAAAAACATGTTGTCACTGTGTTATTAAGTTTAGATTAATCAGGAAATGTATAAATGTAATCCAACAAAAGCGTGTAAAAAGTGAAGTATTTTTGAAGCCTCTACAGTTTTGCATTTATTTTTTATTTTTTGGCTTAGTTTTTTTTTTTTTTTTTTTTTTTACTTGATCACAACCTTTTAACTCACTGAGGACAGGAAAAGCCTATGTTTTTGCACCTGAAACACGACAACAGTGGCATGTATTTAGATGCTAATTACAAAATCCACTATATTAAAATGTCAATTTCATCTTTGAGTCAGTGATTTCTTTTTGGGGTTTGTTTTTTTGTGTGTGTGTGTGTGTTTAAAGTGCAGCTCACAGTTTTCCATAAATCAAATAACACCTTATGTGATCAAAGAATATTGAGGAAAAAAAGATTTGATTGGCTGCTGATAAATGTTGATTTTTGTGCATCAGTGAACCAGCTGCGAAAGTTCAAAGCTGTTCCAACTTGTGGGGGAGTATAGCTGTAGCGTGCTGGGTTTACTGTAGGCTGTCATTCAAAGCAAATCAAAGACCAGGGCTTAACAAATGGGTCATTAGGAAGCAGTATATTTATTATCATTTTCCTTTATTCATTTAGGTAAACATCTCATTAAGATTAAAACCTCTTTCATGAGAGACCTGGCCAACAGGGCAGCAGAAGTTACAATAAATACATACACATAACACTATATCAAGCAAAGAAACAAGTACTATAGCTTAAAATTTTAACCACAAATTGAATCTGACAGTGTGTTAAATAACATTTTTTTCAAATAAATATTTGTTACTTTAGTTTTCTTGACAGCTAAACATATTAATTTTCCAACAACAGATTTCATTGCCATATTGAAGTGCTACTTACAGTATATTTGATTTTTAGATGTTCAACAATAATTTGCTGATAGTATGAAGCGTTGACTCTGTCTCCCAGTTACTTGGCAGAAAATTCTGCCTTTCTGTAGGCTGGTTTGCAGCATTGTGTATGTTTTCTACAGGTGTTATCTTTTATTTTGGTTGTAAATTATGCAGACGTTGTTTGTATGGGTAAAATAGTTATAATGTACAAGCCACTTATGTCTAAAAGTATAGTTGGAAGAGAAACCTCAGTAAAACGAACTAAGTAAATGTGTGGTTATTAGTTTACTCTGGCCCACCTTTTATTCATAAAGTGAGTGATGTTTTAGCAGAAGTCTATCAGCCACTAGAGGGGAGAAGATCGAGTGGCAGTCCTTGCATGTTAGCAGTCAGTAGCCAGATTACACACCTAGCGCATGTAGACAGGAGTTGTAATTCTTTACTCCATTGTTCACCTTCCTCTCAGCTCTGGTTGAGTCTCCTCCATAAATTAAACTGGATTTGTGGCTGTTTAATGTTTGTGTCTTTGTTTTTTGCCTGTCTGCCGTTTGGTGAAATTGTTTGGGCTGGCCAGAGCAGCAAGACCAAACCGGGTAGTAAATGTGCCGTAAAACCAAAACTAAAGCTGAAAGAGGCTAAAAAGCTCCGTACCATGCTGCATAATTGTGAGTTCTCTGTGAGTGTCAGTTTTTAACATAGTCATGTCAAGTTTTCGTTGAAAGAAATTGATGAAAATGAATTATGAGGCAAAACATGACATGCAGTTGCTTAACTACTTTAACTAGATGACATGCAACTTATTAGGACTAATAAAGTTAGGGAAATTGCTTCAATATTGATTAACTTTACAATCGCAATCGCAGCTCGGGTCAAACAGATTAACACTAAAAGTCTTTGTATCTGAGATCTGAACACATCTCCAAATGGGCAAGAATTTTCCTCAACCAATGCCTTTAATTGTGACAATCTTCTAGGACAAATTGTCGGTTTTTACCTGAACCCTTCTTCCAATATTACTCATCGTGTCTTCATTTCAGTCCCACCCCCTCCCTTTTCTTTTTTTTAAATCTTCCGTCCATCTCTTGCTGTTTTTGACCGTCATTTTCTCCATGAACCTATCGTGTCTTAAGTGTTGTTTTTAAATTCACTTTGAAAGTTTACACTGTTTGCGGTCATGTTGTGCCTGTTATAATAACTCTTCTGTCTGATCCTCTGTAAAGTTTGTGAGCTACTGAATATTTTAATGCATTATTGATTATAGATTATAAATCAGAGGCAAAAGAGAACAGAAGTCAGATGTTTTGGGTTTTTTTGTGTATGTCAGATTTATCAAAACAACAAATCAATCTAAGTACCTCTAAGAGCTTTTATTTTTGGATCTCCTGTGTGTGAATTCTCTCTGATGCCTGCGGTTTGTACTCGTTCGTTCAGTTTTCAATGTGTGTATCGATGCCTGTGTGTTTGTTGCACTGTCAGCATGTTTGACAGTATGAGAACGGATTGACCTGTTCAGTGTTTCTGATGCAGGAGCTGCAAAACATTTGTTGGTTTTATCCAGTTTTTTTTTTTGTTTGTTTGGTTTTTTTTGTTTTGTTTTTTTGGCTTTGTTTGCTTTTGTTTTGCTTCTTTTCTTTTTTTTCCCGACATGTCAGCTGCGACTTGATACAGATGGCCACTGCGTCTTATAGTCAGCTAAAATGCATTATAAAGGTATCTGATACCAACCACGGTGTGGTGTTTCTGTCTGGAGGAGGAAGTTGCAAATACATTTATCATTGCACATTTATGTTAATATTTTAGTTTCCTTGATAAATTGCTCACGAATTAAACTTACATATATGCATTTTTATCTTGTGGAAGCAGACGTGATTGGCCTATTATATACACTTCTCTGAATTTTGCCTGTGGGAATGTGACTGTCTTGACTGTACTTATTCTACTAAGTTTACATTTTCTGCCTTTTGTTTTTTTTAAACAAATCTCTTTCCCCATGAAAAAAAAACCTTTCAGAAGTGCTCCAAAGCTTGATAAATTATAACAGTGTGTGATGCAGCATAATCCAGCTAAAGTTTAAAATGTTCCTCCAAGTTGATGTTTGAAAATATATTTCATGTATCAATCTTTTCATGTAGTTTGTATGACTTTGATGGATATATACTCTTTCGGAAATCATTAACCTGAATTCAAAAACTCCACTAGGTTCACAAGAAACTGTTCTCACCACACTCGGCAGAGCAGTGTCACCACAGGCCAGGTACAGAAAAGCTGTCAGCATCATTAAGGTGGCACATTTCATTCACTCCCTGGGTTAGGTTACATACCCAAAGTGTGTGGGGCTAAAATGAGCAGGGGTCTGCTGGACGAGGATTTTCAGCAAAGTTTCAGCAAAGCATTGTTTACTTGCTGCTTATTCATCAGAAATTGTTCAGTAAATGACTTTTTCCCCCAACATAGTTTTCAGAGATAGTTGCAGACAGTCAAGTTAAGATAGCAAACGTGAAATAATGGAAAGTCTTGCTGTTCCTGATTGCTTGGCTGTTTCGTGTGCTGTGTCACATATTGTTATATCTAAAGACCATAATGCGCCCAGTGATCTTTAACCTTGTCTGTTGTGCATTGTCTTTTTTGGCAAATTGCCTACATGAGTGAAGAAAAGCATACAAAAAGAACAATTACACAATTTCCTGTATTGTGTTCTCATAAACAGACAATATATTTGTCACAAAGTTAGTTTTAAATGCAACCCCTATGTGACTGTGGCGCAAAGTAGGTCCTGTTCTGAGTCAGTAGTAATCACAAAAAGCAAAAAATATAATGTGATAACTCTTTGACTTAGGAAAATAGTTGTGTTATTCTTATGCAATACTCAATGCTGCTTCCATTTCAGGAAAACCTTGTTCCTCACAACAACAAACAAAACAAAACCCAAAGTCAGTCCAGTCATTGAATCTTCTGGACAGGAATGCCCTGCCGTGGTGTTGACTATCAGACCAAAATCAAGATTTTATGGTGAAATAACCAAACCTGCCTGAACATTTGACCAAAACTTTGAGAATTTTTTTTTTGTGAATCATTTTCTTTTGTCATGATTTTACTTGTGTTGCCTTTGACACGATGCTAGTTTTGTTTGTAACAGTTATAAAATGTAAAAAGGAACAAACAAACAAAAAAGCAAAAAGGTTTTGAGAGTGTAATAAGCCGGAACTGAACGTGTATGTATTGATGAGTATCTTTGTCAGTTGTTTGCATTTTATCTAGCCGAAGCGTTTGTTATAGATTGACTTTGCAACTTGAGAGCTGATTAAAAATGAACTTAGTACTATAATAACTTTCTGATGTTTTTGTCTTTGATTTGTAGTCATGCTAGGTTAATTGATACAAATAGGAGTTTGTTAATGCTTTGTGAATCACGTCCTCATAGATATCACTGAGCTTCTTTCAGGGGGAGAAGCTGGAAGTCCCCAGTTTGGTGAACTTGTTTATATTTCCTTGAAGTAAAGACTACTTTTTTCTTTCTTTCGTCACTTATAAGCATAGAAATGTCTAGCTTCATAATGGTAAATCATGCAATGGCAGAACCTACCATTCATGGGGTTTTTTTTGTTTTTTCAACATTACATTAGCTCTTGTAATTCAGTGCTAATAAATGTGTAATTAATATTTAACTGTTTAAAACATTGGCCACTTTACTTATTACCTACACAAACTAGAAAATGTGACAAAGCACATTTGAAGTCAGCTACATGAAAATAAAATGTTGGTTAGTAGCAGGCTAATAGGTTTTTGTTTTTTTCTATGTATTTTATATTTGAAAAGCATGTTGACAAAAGTATAGTTTTTTGTATTTCATTGACTAATGCAGAACAACGTTACATCAAATTTAATCCTGAGCTCTGTTATTGTGCAGTTGGTTATATTTTTAGTAACTTCCTCCCAGAAAAGGCCATAAAGTCATTTACTTCTCAAAAACAGCGCAAAAAAAATAACAACTCAAATTCACAGTGTAGAAGAATTTATTTTATCTTATAGTAAGAAACTTCTCACCAAAAGAGAAAATGTGGAAAAATAAATACCCAAGAATAGTGGAACCATGTGAAGTATAGTTACAAAAATAAGTCAGCATATTTAGTTTCTTTTTACATTTCTGTAGATACCCTCTTTTGCTACGAGGGGAAAAAAATGCAGTAGTGTAGTTATTATAGCTGAGATACAGCAACCTAGACAAAACTTGTGATTTAAACTCCTCTTTCCAAACAAGCTAAAAACATTAAAAAATGTAAACATAGCAGGGAATTAAAACTGTGTGAATATTAGCTTTTAATATATTTCTAACAGACATCCTTCAAACTACTTTTTGCATATTACCGATATCTGAGAATGACTGTCAAATATGCTTAATATTCCACTCTTGATTTTAATTCAACAATCTAGTTTGTTTTTGTCTGAATGCTTGGTTTTCTTAAAAAACAAAACAACTATCCCCCAAATAAAATTATGCAGAATATTAAACTAAAATCAGAATACATACATGAATGAAGATTGCATTCACAAAAGGAAAAAAAATGCATTACTATAAAATTACAAAGGTAAGTTACGAGATCAGAATGTTGTAATTTTTCAGCTAGTGTGCAAAAGAAACATCGGGTTAAAGTTCTGATTTCCTGTCTCATAACAGAATCTTGACTTTTTATATAAATTAGAAAGTAGTTGAGGTAATCCTAGGAAATAAAGGATTTTCTTTTGTGAATCCAACTCATTTCTGCATACGTAATCTTTGTTCCCTCCTCAATACGACACATTTTTACATGTTTAAAAATGACCAGAGTAAACGACTCATTCGTTTTGTCCTCTTTTTGAAATAAATCTTAGCCTTGAAGCTTATCTCATGTACAGGTACAATAGGTCATATCTATACAGCAGCAAACCCCCCAAAATACCCAAAACTCAACTCTGAAGTCCTCCTGTATTTTTTTTTCCTATAAAATAAAAACTTTTCCCCACTAAGAAATTATTAAAAAAAAGAAAAAAAAAAAAGAAAATCTCAAACATAACACACACACACACACACACACACACACACACACACACACACACACACACTCTTCATATAAATAATTGCTTAATGGGCTTTGATTTGAATTACAGTTACTTAAAGATCCCTCACATGTACCAGATTTATCTTGCTATTTCTTCTAATATGTCAAAATCCAAATACTGCATGTATGAATGTAGAAAAAACCCTCTTTAGGAAAGAACTGCCATTAAAGAGCCATCAAATAATACAAAAGCTGAGAGATTGGAGAGCTCTGATTCTTTGAATCATTATTTGCGTTCTGAGATCTGAACTGAAAAAGTCCTCTTTCCCATCATCACCAGAAGTCTTTAGAACATTTGTGCACCTGGATAATTCAGAACATTTACTGGTTTAAAGCCCATTCTAAAAGACTTGAGTAGTTGGGTGGAACAAATGGATTCAAAACTACACCTTAATCAAATCCCTATTATGTCAGTACTCTAAACAATAATATTTCCTCAAATGGCCATTTGGGACTGGCTTTCCCTCAGAAATGAGTTTAAAACTTTTTTTTGCATAACTTGCAACTTGCATAACTTATTAAAATTTAAAGCAAGTTTGTTTAAGGGTGTGACTGCTCTGAATGATAGGTGGGTGGTGTCACAGCAGTTACATCTTTTGCAGTATAAGTGTCAACATGTCTCTGCAGCAAACTCCTGTAGGTTTATTTTCTTTGGCAAACGAGCAGATTGTGGCTTTAAGGAGAACAGGGAGGCAGAAAGTCCACCAGGTGATTCTGTCGTTCACTTTACACGGTTGAATTTCTTCCTGATCAACAGAAGAGGGCGATCAACTCCACAAGCTTTATAGGAGACTCTTGAGGAATGGTTTTCACTGGGCCACTCCCAGGTAAGACAAACAAGAGTTACTACCCTTTGAATTAACATTTAAAATGTGGGCAGAGAATCACACTTTAGTACACACGGAGAGCATGTAAAGGGAAAAAAATGCATTTCAGCTTTTAGCACAACAGCACTAACACAGTAAAGTACAGGACTTGTGGTGCATTTACATGCAGGATTGTTTTGTCCTTTCAGATTTTCAGAAATGTAATTTTCCTGATGGTATTAAAAAGTGACTATCCTGTAGACATTTCCTGTTTAAAAACAAACAAACAATAAAACCTGGAAGGAAAAAGAAATCTTTTCATTTGGTTATACACTGTTCCCGCTGAGGGAATTTAGAGTGAGGGGGTTTTTAGACTTTGGTGACATTTGTACTATGTTCCAGTGTCAGATCATCGTCATCGTCACTCAGGTCCAACCTCAGGTTATCCAGAGTCTGACGGATTGTCATGGTCTCCTTACGCCTGAGGGATACAGATGAAGCTTTATTAGTTTGCCATCAAAATTATGAGAGGGTACATAAACATATGTAAGGAGGTTAAAAAAACGAAATCTGCAAGGTGAGAAATCATGAAAGAAAATACAAGTGTCAAGTAGCTGTTATGCATTATGAGCTATCAACAGTCCATCTGCATGCATGCAGTACAGTTCATACTTGGTCTGCAGGTGTTGGTCAAGCAGCTGCTTCTGTAGGCGGCTGGTTGTCTCCCTCTCCTCAGCCAGCTCTCTCTGGGTGTGCCGGTACTGTGCCTCCTTCCTGCTTGCCTCCTCCTCGGCCTCATTCAGCTGGCGCTTCAGAGAGCGGATCCTCTGGGTCATCTGGAGAACAGATCACAGATTATCAGATCATCTGGTTAGTGTACACGACATAAAAACATTTGCCACTTCTGCACAGTTTGTTAATCCATTATGTGGGTCAATCAGTCAACAATTCACCATACAAATACGTCCCATTAGAAAAGGAAAAAGAGTGCGGGGGAAGTTTGTTTCTATGATTATCTTAAAAAAAAAAAAAGTTCATAAAAGGAAATCAAATATACATCCAAATAGTGGGTGGATCCCAGAGAGCAAAAACTAGTTGAAGTTAACTTAAAATACAATATAAGGTTAGTAAAAATAAAGTAGTAGAAGGATGGAAATTACTGCTGCTGATGATGATAATAATAATAATCGGTGATTTAAGAATTAGTAGTATTGAAGCTTTGGATATTTCAGCTAACGCACACTTTCCACTTGGGGGTGTCTGAGACAGAAATGCTGTTTTATAGGTTTGTACAAATGTGTGGCTGTATTACCAGGTCTTTCTGTTCAGTAGCTATCCGGTGCTCCTCCTCCATCTGATCACTCAGCTCGTTGATCTTCCTCTCCAGCTTACTGTTGGTGTTTGTCAGAGTTGCTTTGTTCCTGCGCAGAAACACACACTTGTAGTGTAACAGCAAAAAGCCATTTAACACGTGCAGGTACTCCTGCAAAGTCTGCAGGCTGTCCTCGGTCACAGAGAAGATCTTTAACTGACCTCTCCTCAACCCTCAGTGAGTTCTCCAGTTCCTTGACTCTGATCTCCGTCTTAGAGATGACATCCTCCTGTACTCTGTTGCTCCGCAGTTCCTCCACCTCCAGACGAAGCTGACGCAGCTACACAAACACACTTTATTAGTACTCAAAACACAGAAAAAAAGTCTCCTTTTATTTACATTATTTTGTGTATAAAAATGTCTAAATACAAGGAAACCATGGCAGCTATAAGTGTTTCTTTTAGAAATGACACTAATAAGATCTGATTCGTCTTTTTGTCCACAAAGTGATGGCAAGTTTTTGTTTTATCTATGAAATGTTCTGCTTAATTTTCACAAAATGGCAAATGAGAATGGTGCACAGAAAAAGTAAATATATTCTATTGAAATGCATATAATATAATATTGGCTTCTGAATTTAAGGCCCAAACACTTATCACATGCATAAAAAGACTAGAAATAAGCCCACACAGATTACCTGTCTTTCCATTGACACTTTCTCAACTTCCAGCTGCTCGTTCAAATCTTTCTCCTGAATCAGCTTCAGCTGCAGCTGCTCGGTCTGGAGGTCAAAACACAAAAAGAGTGTCAGTAACCAATCAAATCAGTTCTATACGAATAGTTTTCAGTTGATACGCTTCCTGTTCCCAGCGCATCTACCTGATCGATGGCTCTCTTTTGCTTGGCGGCCCATCTCTGCTCGCTGTCATGCAGCTCCTCCAGATCGCTCTCTAGGTCGATTAGCTTCTCCTGAAAGTTTAAAAATAAGTAAACTTCTGATCTGAATCCCTCTCAAACAGCCTGTGAGGTCACTCTTTAAAATGTCTGACACTCGGGTTATTTTTGAAAACGGAACAGATTAAGCATCTTCAGAAATGGTGACGTGACGTAT